CCAGAACAGTTCAACCCAAATATTCAGATGTGTGCAGCGCATTTTATGGAGGACTGTTTCCTGATCCTGGTAGAGTAGACTACAATGCCGGCTGTTCTGAACTCACAGCCTGTAAGTACGTTTTCATATTTAAAGGATTTGCCACTGATAATTCAAACGCAAGTTTTGAGCAGTGTAGAAATGCAGACATGGTTTTATGTTTACGCGACGCGATGCAACGCAACGTGTAAAAAGACAGTATAAGTCATTATAATCTGTAATTATGTCCCCACTGGATGCAACAAATGCCTCGTTTATAATGGGTTTTATTGTTTTTGTCTCGTCGCTCCGGGACATGGCATCACAGTATGGTAAGGGGCGTAACATTTCAGTCAAATGTTTGAGGTATTCGGCCAATCAGCGTACACCTCGCTTTTCAGAACGATGAGCTTTGTCAAAATCGACGCGTTTCAGAAATTTCATAGAGGAGAAACAATAACAGTATGTGGAAAATAATGTGTTTTTTTAACCTTAAACCGCATAAACACATTACCAAATACACAAAATAATGTTCTTTTTTAGCAACGTCATATGACCCCTTTAAATTTGAATATAATTCGAATTTTGATAATATTTCAGTACAAAAATTCAAATTTAGTTTTGCAGCCATTTTGACAGCCCTAATATAGATATTTCACCCAAAAATGAAAATTACTCACACTCACTTCGTTCCAAACCTGTAAGACCTTTGGAACACAAATTAGAATGGAAAACTGTATTTACCTTGGCATAGTTGAATAATAACAGTTCTGTACATGGAAATGATATACCGGCGTGAGCCTCAAACACCATTGTTTCTTCCTTCTTATGTAAATCTCGTGCATGCAAAAGACCACTGAAAAATAGGCGAATCAGAACATAACACCGACTGTGATGTTACAGTCAGGATCACTAATAGTTACGCCCCCAACATTTGCATATACCCGCCCATGTTCTATGCCAGCCGCCAGCCGAACCTGCACAG